ATTCCACGCCAAGGCTGAGACTCGGGGCCGTGGGCGAGAGAGTCGTTGATGATGTCGTTGTCAGGGATGACACCTTCCACCTCGAGGTCTTCGTCTGTAGTTGCGTCATGATCCGCACCTGCAGCCTCCATGGCGTCAAGTTCGGCGCGGGCTCGAGTCTGTATGGCAACAACGAGCATCTCGTTGGTAATTGTCTGGCGAGGGTATCGGTCCTCGAGGAGGGCCCTGGTCTCGGCAATATAGGCGTCAAAGTCGGCAAGGGTCGCACCCTTGGGTGCAAGAGGCACCCCTTCAAATGGTGCCACATCCATTGCTGTGCTGTCCAGTTAGTATCACGCGTGAGGTGCGATGATGGTTGGTATTGGCGGTGATATGGCAATGCTTGGCAGTGATGAGCCCTTTGATCGTGATCAGCTTCGAGGTCGCACAGTTGTGACCAGGGGACCTATATCCTCGTTTGATAGAACGATGATGGTTGGGAAGGGAAATCTGGTGGTTATCCCAGGAGAAAGTATTGCAAATAGGTAGACTGGAGTGGTGAATGGGCGGGCAGTAAGTAGGCAGACACCTCCGTGGAGGAAGGAACAGCAACTGCCCTTGTCTGCCAACCCCAAGTTCTCTATCTGTGTCAGTTGATGAACTTGTGCTTGAGTATTTGTACTGCCTGGTTTGAAGTTGGTAGACCACCTCTTTCGACTACCAGCCGGAGCATATTTTTCAGTAACATTTTCCTGTTTGTTGGAAGCAGGGTCTGCCTACCTCTACTGCCTCACGTCTGAAGAACCCCGGCAAGGAAAGGTCTGGCCACGGCGGGATCGAGAGGGATACTTCCAAGTAGAAAGAGGCAATAAGCTATAATTGCTCACATTCTCGCTGGATAGTTGGGTACTGTCACATCTGTCTTCATTCACGTTACGATGCTACTTCGCACTTAGAACCATTGGTCAACAATGAAAAGAATTATGCTATTCGAACGTGAACACAGTGGGCGTGGTTTTCTCGTAAAAGCAATGACTCAAAGAGAATCTTCAGCTCCCGAGGTCGCGGCTGTCTTGAGAGTTCGTTTATGACCTGGCAGAAACCAAGCTTCTTGAACCCTCCGCTTGTTGATCCCCACCGAAACGCCGTAAATCGACTCCTACCAACGGCCAACACGATCAATGCTCCTTTCGCTTGACCTGCAAAACCTGCAGAGACTCTCGCAAAAGGTCCACAGTATGATTGGCTTGCTTGAGTCTGCGATGCCTTTGCTAACGGTCAATTTCGTCGAGGCTCATGTCGCCGTCGTCGCGGCCGACGATCGAGTCTGCCACCCTCCAGATCTGCAGCAAGTTGTCCTCGGCAGCGCTACAGACGAGCCACGGGTCGTTCGGGTTCCACGCGAAATCTGCGAGGTGGTTTGTGTGGCCTCCATGCATGAAGAGAAGCTCCGGTGGGCCGTCTTCCTGGTCGTCCGGCAGCTGCTCGTCGCCAACCCGTGAAAGATCCCAGAAGATGATTCTTCGATCGTAACTGCCGCTGCCCAGGATGCCAGCTTCATGGGGATGCCATGACAGCGAGGTAACGGCGTCATTGTGACCCTCAAGAGTGTGAATTTTTTCCTTGACATTCCTGAGATCCCAGACGCCCAGAGTCTTGTCGGCGGATGCAGTGGCCACCAAGACCTCCGAAGCTGGGTTGAACGCAAGCGCGTTGATGGCGTCGGAATGGCCGCGCTTGGCGGACAAGGACGCAATGTTGGTCTCCGGCGAACGCACGTCGATGATCTGCATCGTCAGATCGTCCGAGACGGTACCGATGAGCGACTTCGAGACCGGGTGGTACTGCACGTCATTGACGATTTGAGTGTGGTGAGTATACTTGCGAGCCGGCTTCAGAGTGCGGCTACCCTCCTGCAGCGTCTTGATGTCCCTGATCTCGTCAGCTGGGCCGTCTGTATTTGGGATGCGAGCGGAACCCTTACCAGAGGCAGACGGTAGTGTCCTCGCTACCAGAAGCCAAGCAGCCGGCCTCGTGTGGATTCCAGCTAAGGCCGTATCCCTCCTGCTTGTGACCCACGAGCTCGACCTCAGGGCTGACCTTTCCATCAGCCGTCATGCTGTGCTTCGTGCGGTCAAACACGAGGATCTTGCCATCGACACAGAGTGTGGCAATCAGATCTGGGTTTTGAGGTTGGTACCGCGCCTTGTTCACCTCGCCAGGGTGGTCGATCTTTTGCACAATGTTGAAACGAATGGGCGCCAAACCGCCAAACTTTCCATAGCCACCAATCTCCCCCCGTTCCTCGTCGAGGTCGTCGGTGCTCGGCTCGATGGATTTGGGGACTTCCACTTCGGCGATTTGCAGGTGGTTTGGCATGCCCTCAGAAGTGTGAGTACCAAGAAGCAATCGGTGAACACGGTAGTTCTTGCCCTCTGGCTCCTTCACGTCGGGAAACCACTGAGTCGTTAGGGTTGGCCACTCGAGAGCAGTACTATCAATTGTCAGTCATTGCAATAGTTCTACAGCTTGCATGCTTACCTGAGAATCATATCGTAGAGGAAGGGGCTGTTCTTCTTCCAGGTCTTGTACTCTATGCGCATAACATGGTTAGTTGGACGCCAAAACGCACAGTGACGAGAGGGATACCTACCCTCGTTGATGAGGCGCTGCTCCATATTCTCATCATCCTCCTGATGCATGTCGACTACTGTAAATTAGCGACCCTGCCTTCCAAAAGTCGCAAGAACTCCTGTAGTGTGTTCCGCTCACCGTCAACGTCGTCGACCACCTGCGCTGGTGCCATCTTTTTGGGCAGATCTGGGAATACCGAGATCGCTAAATGAATGGAGCTCGGTAGATTCGAATGCGATCGGTGTAAGAGTGCGGCGGGGTCGAGTATGTGGGATGAGTTAGATGAAGTGGGAGGTGGTTCGTTGCCAGGTGGAAAGACCTCTCACAGCCGTGCCGCAATTGTCAGAGTGGAGGAAGACGCGACGCGAATCGCGTAAAGTGTTTGAAGGCAGGTATTTGAGATGAGCCTTATCAGGAAGCTTATCTGGCGCTCAAGCAGCCGCGCTTGTTCCATCTCGCGCGCTTGGAGCGGCAGGTTTGCCCTGGACCCACCGAATTTGCCCCTCCCCCAGCAACTCATGACACTGGTGACTCCCTGGACCTCGCCGCAAGCAGCAGGTACCCCGTCCTGGCGCCTGAAGCTCCCGACCTGTTCTGCATCCTACATACTCACCCGCCACGTACCGCGCAACTTATCATCAGACGAGAACACAACTCGACGGTCGAGTTCCCTGTTCATCGGAAGAAGCCTAGAGTTTCTTTTGTGTTGTATCTTGCTCACGGCTGTATTGACTTCTTACGTTCAAATTTCCTTTCCCTCCAACCGTCGCAGACGCAACGATTTCGGTTTTGCGCCAGCACCCAAATCACACCCGAAGCTGCGCCAGGCTTTCAACCCGACTTTTCTCTGTTCTGCAAATTTGCAGAGTCATTGCGCTTTCGTGTAGCATCTAGCACAGCTTCCAGCTCTCTACCCGGTCTACATTCACCATGGGGTACGCTGCCGCGCCACCACGCTGATGCATCGCAAAAGGGACTCGAGCTGACCATTTATCTGCAGTGTCCCCAAGTTCTTCAGGTGGCTCTCTGAGCGCTATCCTGCCATCTCGCAGGTCATTGCCGAGAATCGCATTCCCGAATTCGACGCCCTCTATGTTCGTCTCCCGACCTGCCCCGCATCGCCATGACTTCCGAGACTGATGTTGGTGGACAGCTGGACATGAATGGAATCATTCACAATTGTACGCATAAGGATGCCGGAGAGGATGCGACATTCCGTCTGAGTGAGGAGGAGATGTTCATCCGTATCTTCAACTATATTGAGCATCTTTTCGGCAAGATCAAGCCGAAAAAGCTTTTCTACATGGCCATCGACGGTGTCGCCCCGCGCGCCAAGATGAACCAGCAGCGATCTCGTCGGTTCCGGACGGCTCTTGATGCCGAGAATGCGAGAGAGAAGGCTATCAAAGATGGTGTGGAAATGCCCAAGGAGGCCCCTTTCGACAGCAATTGCATCACCCCAGGTCCGTCTTGCGCCCAACACAACCCCAAGTCCAGACCACGACTAACAATCCCCAGGCACTGAGTTTATGGCCAAGCTCTCCCGTCAACTGAAGTACTTTGTCAACAAAAAGGTGACTGAGGATGCTGATTGGCAGGAGTGCGAGATTGTTCTCTCCGGGCACGAGGTTCCCGGCGAGGGCGAGCACAAAATCATGGAGTACATCAGGAACGCCAAGGCTCAGCCTGATTACGACACGAACGTCCGACACTGTCTCTACGGTCTTGATGCTGACCTGATCATGCTTGGTCTGCTCAGTCACGATCCCCACTTCTGCCTTCTTCGTGAAGAGGTTACCTTCGGCCGTGCGTCGAAGACCAAATCGAAGGAGCTGGAGCATCAGAACTTTTATCTCCTGCATCTCTGTATCGTCCGTGAGTACCTGGATCTAGAGTTCCAGGAGCTCAAGCAAGATGGGATTTTGAACTTTCCATACGATCTTGAGCGGGTCATCGACGACTTCATCCTCATGGGTTTCTTCATTGGCAACGATTTCCTTCCCCATCTCCCCCGCCTTCACATCAACGAAGGCGCACTTGCATATATGTTTAGGATATATAAGAGCATCCTGCCCGAGTGCGATGGATACATCAACGAAGGCGGCGTCATCAATCTCCAACGCCTGCAGCGTCTGTTGACTGAGCTGGCCAAGGATGAGACCGACCAATTCGAACACGACGTCTCTGATGAGCGATGGTTCCAATCGAAGCAATCAGCGAGCAACAGCAGAAGAACGCTGCGCAGTCCAAGCAGAGAGGCAAGGGCGTCGTCATGACCTCCGCGCAGAGGGACCTTTGGAAGAACTACATCAAGCCGTACCTCACCAAACCCACCCCTGAACCCCTCGATCTAGGCACAGAGCTCAACGCTGCCGATCGCAAGTTTGTGCAGGATCTTGCCGACGCTGTCCATGTGGACTGGAGTACCAAGGAAGACGACGATGGCCACCGTCATCTGATTCTCACGTCTCCTCAAAGCGAGGATAACAACGAGGAGGAGGAGGAGGGTACCCTGGCTCTGTTCCGCGTCATGAAGAATTACGACAAGGCAACTGTAGTTGACATAACTGCAGATGACGCCAAGCAGCACTATGCGGACCTTTACAAGCAGAAGTACCAAGGCTGGAAGACCAAATACTACCTGCAGAAGTTTGAGGACTGGGCGCCGGACAACTACGACAAGGAGCTCACTGCTCTTTGTGAAAACTATGTGCAAGGCCTGCAGTGGGTTTTGTACTACTACTACAGAGGAATTGCCTCGTGGCCTTGGTTCTATGCCTACCACTACTCTCCCTTGACATCAGGTTAGTTTCACTGCCGAACGACGTGGGATTGCCACTAACATAATTTAGACGTCATCAAGGGTCTGGGTGCTGATCTGAACTTCAAGCTTGGCCAGCCTTTCCGTCCGTACGAACAGCTTATGGGTGTCCTCCCTGACCGAAGTAAATCGATCGTCCCCACCGTGTACTGGGATCTCATGACAAACCCCAAGTCGCCCATCATCGACTTCTATCCGCGAGACTTCGAGCTCGACATGAACGGCAAGAAGATGGAATGGGAGGCAGTTGTCAAGATCCCCTTTATTGATGAGAAGCGACTTCTTGACGCAATGGGCCCGGTTAACGAGGAATTGAGTGACGACGAAAAGTCACGAAACCAATTCGGTGTTTCCCTAAAGTTCACTTACAACCCTGAGGTCAACTTCACCTACCCGTCCTCCATGGTTGGCGTCTTTCCAGACATTCCTCAGTGCCGGTGCGTCGAGAACATTTTTGAGCTGCCAAGCACCGAAGGCCTGCAGTATCGTTCTGGCCTGATGGACGGGGTTAAGATCAGTGCCGAGGCTCTGGCTGGTTTCCCTTCCATTCATACGCTTCCCTACACCGGCCAACTCATGGAAGGATACGGGGTCAACGTTTTCCAACAGGACAGCCGTAACCCTAGCATGATCATCACTCTGAGCGAGTCGGAGATCACGACAAAAGCTGAGGTGGCCAAAAAGAAGCTAGGCCAGAAGTGCTTCGTCGGGTACCCTTTCCTCCAAGAAGCAAAGATTGTCCGTGTTGTGGATGAGCTATTCGACTACGAACTCGACCACACGGGTACGACTGTTGTCCAGAAGAACCATGGTCCCCGGGAGATTGAAGGTTTCTCGAGAGAGTCTCAGTACATCGAGAACTGGCATGCCAAGCGGTTGGGATTCACAATTGGTGAGGTTGAATCGCTGGTGCATGTGCACATGCTCAAGGGTCTCATCAAGACCGAGGAAGGCGCGCTCATCAAGGAGTACGCAGAGAACCCAAGCATGAGGAGCGTCTATGCATCACAGACTATTGTGGACGAGGTCATCAGTCAGGATGAGCGCTTCATTGAGAGGGCGTCAGTCCCCATCGAAGAGGAGTACCCCGCGGGTACGCGGGCCTTCTTCTTGGGAGAATTCCACTACGGCCGCCCCCTGGAAGTGCTCGGCCACGCAAACAACAAGGCGGAGATTGTGGTTTCGGTGCTTCAGGCCAAGGAACCTGAATACGCAAAGCCTATTATCCAGGAGGTCAACCGCCAGAACCGCTTCACGCCCTCCTATGCTGTAGCTAAGATGTTGGGACTCCATCCTCTGATACTCAGCAAGATTCTGTCTTCGTACCAAGTCAACACCGTGGGAGGCCTCAGGGTCAACCTTGGCCTCAACCTCAAGTTCGACGCTAAGAAGCAGAAAGTCCTCGGATACTCTCAGAAGAACCAGTCAGGCTGGGAGTTTAGCAACGCCGCGATCGAGCTGCTTGCCAAGTACGTCGCAGCGTTCCCAGACTTCTTCGTTGCCATCCAGACCAAGGCGCAGCAGAGCGACATCAGCGACACTGACATCTGGCCCGACTCGGCCGTGGCTGCTAAGCGCGTCAAGGAGATCGGTCAATGGCTCAAGGCGGCAGAGACAAGCAAGTTTGAAAGGGTTCCTCTTGATGCCGAACAACTCGACTCTGTGACAGTTATGAAATTGGCTGAGGCCGGCGAGCAAGCTTTCCAGATCTCGCAGAACACCACGACTAAGAAGCTCAACAACGTTCCGCGGTCGGCGCTTCTGAAGCCTACGGATGCCGAATTGCTCATGGGCAATCAGAAGTTCAACCTTGGCGACCGTGTCACATATGTTGCTGCAACCGGCAAGGTTCCCATTGCAAGCCGCGGTACCGTGGTTGGCATTGGACGCACTGCCACGGCTATTCTGCTTGATGTCGTTTGGGACGTAACCTTCATGAGCGGTACGACACTGGGTGAACGCGCTCCTCCCTTCCGGGGCATGACGGTGGCATCCTCATCCGTCCTGAACACAACGCACAAGCAGGTCATCTCGGGCTCCAAGGCCGCCACTCAGCGACGCCCTGCGCCCGCGTCCACATCGCTGACGACGGGTTCTTACAACCCTAATGGCACCCCACAGTACAGAGACGCATCGGCGCCGGCGCCTCTCAGAGGGAGCTATCGCGGTGCGATGAATGAGCAGTCTCATGGCCAGCCCCGGGGTGGCGGCAGGGGTCAAAACGGAGCAAATGGCAGCGGGGGCGGCAATGTTCCCAACTTGCTCCATAGCACTTTAGTCTATCGACCTCATCCCAACGGCAACCAGGGAGGAGATGGCCAGGCCTCTCGTGGCCGTGGCCGCGGTCGGGGACGCGGCGGACCTGTCGCCAACGGCGGACCTGCCCCACAGTCCTCGCCTCAGCCGCAGCAGCAGATGTACGGCAACGTGCCTCCTCCTGCGTCTCTTGATGCGCGTGGAAGGGGCCGTGGACGTGGCGGACGTGGTCGAGGAGGTGCTCGTGGCGGTGCTCGTGGTGGAGCGGCCCCTCCTGCTCCCTCTCAGAACTAGCAGTCTGGAGGGCTGCGGATAGACGTGCGAAGCTGCTGATCTGAGGCTGCTGTTGATTTCGTTCCATGTTGGCTCGGTTCTCTGGGTGGGTTATATTCTGCACGGATTTCGGGCTCATTGTTCGCAGGTTGAGGAGCCAGCGGAAACGCGTCGACGAATGTGTCAGAAGGAAAGTTATTCCATCCATAGCATATATACACGGCACCAAGCGGTATGACGAGGTGGTGATACAGTTAGCTAGCTGGCGAGAGGAGCGGTGCAAATAAATTCGTTATTCACAAAACCGTCCATCACTGAGACGGCCTGTACGTATATGTCATGTGTGGACAAGATT